CTTTAATGTTTTTCATTGGATCTTATCTTGAATGAAATTCTGTTTAGCTTTGGGAAGGAAGAAAAATTAATTTTTGATTATCTTATTTCCTTTGGTTGCAACTGTCTTGGTAAGACTCTTGACATATTCCTTATTCATTACTACTTACGATCTTATGAAATTCAGAATATTAGCTGTAGAAAAATCTCAACATGCGCATTTTTCTTTATACTAATTTTTTTCTAAGAAATTGTGAATAAGGATGGAGAACTTACAGTGGATAGCTTGCAATAATATGCTAATGGCGTCACCAGTTGAACTAGACAGTCATGAAGAATCATTAAACGATGAATGTTGGATTCTAGCAATGCAAAATTTGTTGAGCGAAGCTGAAAGAATCAAAAGTATGGAAATCCAGTACCAAGCAAAGGAGCCGCAATCATGGATATCTAAAGCCTGATAAGATTGGTAAGGTTGTGAAAATTATGTGTAAACTTGTAGCCCATGGTTTCACAACAAGAAGGTTTGTTTCTTCCTAGAGAGTTTTGTTAGAACATCATTTTTCATGTGCATATTATAAAGTTTGTAAACTATTTTTGTATGGATGTTGAAATATTTTTTAAATGGTTTGAAAACTGCATAACATTATTTTCTAGCCTCTTTCTGGAATTGAATGTTTTTTGAATCACATTCGTGTGACTAAGACTAGTTACCATTTGAAATAAATTCATGTTTATCATGTGGCGATTATTCTTTCCAAAGTTGTATTTACAAGAGCATATTTTTTTTAATACTAACCAAAATCATATCAAGCCATTTTTAAGCTTCAAGAGCATATTGTCTTAAGTTTTTGCTCAAATTTTTCTTGAAAGTTTAACATGTGAGGATATCAAAAGTTTCTTAATCTTTTTAAATCATCCGGTGTTTTTCAAGTGACTATGTGCGATTACACCGTCTTATTTGCTAAATGATGTTTTGGAAAAATCAAGTATCCTGTGAGTTTTTTTTTAATCTCTGCTAAGCTTTCAATCATGTGAAATGATGTTCTTCTGTGGTCTAGAATTTTTTTTGTCTACCTACAATGACAGTTCAATATTTTTTAGCTTTGGGTTAACACTTTGGATATTTTGATCGGATTAAAAGATGTCAACTAGCTTAAAATTTTGTTAGATTTTTCTTTATGCTTACGACTCTTAAAGGGAACTATTACAACATGTTTTTTATAACTCCCCGGATGATTATAAGTTATAATTATACTTTTATTTGCATATTCCCTATAATTTACTTCACCCTTTTGATGATGACAAAAGGGGGAGAAAACAATGTGTGCAAAATTTCGAAAAAGGTAGAATGTATGGAGACAGGGGGAGCATGACGAATGAATGCTTAGAGTAAGGGGGAGCCTTTACGTGGCATGACATCTATGCATGAAAGAGAAAGCTCGACATTTCAGGGAAGTAATCTTTACTGTACTTTAATTAAGTCTTTGATTATATTTTCTTATTTTGTACTCAATGGTTTGCCATCATCAAAAAGGGGAAGATTGTTAGCTTCAAGGTTTCACGTATTAATTTTAATGATAACAAACTAAAATAACTATTAATCAAAGAATATTTACTTGTGGTAATCTTATTCTTGTACAGGAAAGAAAATGCTGGTAAGATCCAAACAAATATGGGAAAGAGAATATCATGTGAAGAATTCATCAAGGAAGATTATTTTTAGAGATTTAATCTAGAAGGAATAATATTTGAAAGTGAAATTTTAAATATTGAATGGCTTACTATAATATCAGAAGAAGAATCTATGGAAATTATGGATGGAAAGCCTTTCAACATCTTGGAAGGAAAGTTGCTAAAATCATGGAGAAGATCTATTATTTTGTAGAAGGAAGATACTATATGGAAAAGATACTACAAGGACAAGTAAGAATATATACTCTATGAAAAGAAAATATATTATAGATGTAGTACAATCTATTTTATGGAAAGAGGTTATTTTTCAAGACCTACTAAAGAAACATTGGAGAATTATGGAAGAATGCTTCCTAAAGGTTTGGACAAGATCTACTACGTATGGAATATTCTTAATACAATATTATAGTAAGAAATTATATCTCCAAGAACAAAGAAGAGAATCATAGAGGATGGAAAGAAGGCTTATTGAATATAAAAACTATTTCACAAGGAAGTGAAAGTAGTAGTGGATCATGACTTTGCTAATTAAGGAAGTACAATGGAGCAGCAATCAAGAGGCATTTATGGTATTCCAATGAATGCAGAAGATCCTTAATTAAAATGGTCCATTTCAAAAGGAAAGCTTACATTGGCAGGAGATATCCAAGCAACGGTCTAGAGATCTGAAAGAAGTTATTACCCCAAGATTCAAGAAAGCAATCATCTAATAGCTACAAGGAAGATTGGAAGAATTTTCAAAATTCCCTTGGATTAAGCAATTGCTAGAACAAGTTGAAAGGGGTATAACTGTACGAGCTCTATGAAGGAAGAAAGCACGCAGCCTTATATACAATTGTCTATCCAACTACAAGTTCTTTATTCTACTCTTAACAAGCATTGTAATTCACTTTAGTAGATTTACTGTGTACCCAAAAGAGAGAAGAGAGACAGAAAATATTGGAGAGGCAGTGTGTCCTAGAGGTTGTGTCATTGTTCGTTTCTTTGGTGAGCGAGTGAAAACCAAAGGGTCGTTTTTGGTGAGCGAGTGAAAACCAACCCTGTCAGCGTTGGTGGTGATCGCTGAAAATCTTAAAGGCTGTACTCAATTCAATTTACAAAGAGCTCTAAAAGATAACACTCTTGCAACCCAAGAGGACTGGATTAGGATACCACATTGGTTACGAACCAGTATAAAATTCCTGGTGTCATTTACTTTATCGCTCTCGTATTATATTATATTCCTTTATTGTTTATTGTGATTAATACTTGTTTAAATCGAAAGAACTAACAGTTCTGTGCAGGCTGTCTCCGCATAAGTCGACTAGATCTGAAGAGTAGTCGACTAGAAATTTAGAAACGCTACAATTCACCCCCCCTCTTGTACTTTCACAAGACACATATCAACAAAACACCTCTATTCACAATGAAGCAGCAGCAGAACCAGCAACAGCAGCACCAATAACAGCACCAGCAGCAACGGCAACAGCAGCACCCGCACCATCAGTTGTGCTGGATGGTGACTATGATTGTGAAGATGGGGATGCAATATCTGAAGATGAAGATGAACATCCAGTTTTGAGACCTAAGGTGATATCTGAAGCTAAGACTAGGCTTCAAAAGAAAAAGCTGAGGCAAATGCCAACTAGTACAAGTAAGATTGCATTCAAGGGTGATGAATCTGGTGCCAATGTACCTGCAAACTTGCCATATTCACCAAGGAAAGTAACTTGGAAAGGCAAAGAAGCAATGACATCAAGACAACTGTTGGCAGAAAAGGAAAAAAAGTTGTAAATTGAAGGCTAAGAAGATCAAGCTTTAGGGACCTCAATTGTGTTTGAATGACTAATTTTAACTTAGGAAACGAAACTATATTTTTGTGATGACTGATTCATAACTTATTATGTATTGTTTTTGTGGTGAATCAGTTGTGAAAGTTGTATTGATTCACCCCAAAAATCTTTTGTTGGGCTTATATTAGGGTGAAACACATTGTGACAAGTGGTTGTTAAGTATTTTGTTGGCTATATATAACTATGCCTTGTTATCTATTGATGATCTTGTTATCTATTAATTGTGGAAATTGTTGTATTGATGTTGTTTATTTTTCGAATATGCATAACATATTGTTGGTTCTTGTGGCAGTACTTTAGTTCAATGAGCATAACATACCAATGAAAACAGAAATGAAAACTAGAAATTCATTGAAAACGGAAATATAAAAATACAGACAACTACAAAGACAACTGCAAATTTAACCTAACTAAAAGCTGCAAATTCCCTTCATTAAACAACTATGCCAACAATCTGCAATTTGGTAAGCCATAACATCATAACCCTTACTAAGCAAAACAACTTCTCTACATCATCTTGTAGATTTTGTAAGCTATAAGGACCAACAGATTCCTATGGTCACCATATTTGGACACTACTAACCAAAACACAACTTCTCTACATCATTTTGTAAGCCACAAATATAACAAAAATAGCCTATGACCATATTATAAACTTTTTCCATTGCTTCAATTCCAACTCCAAATTTGAAACTTTCTCCTCCAATGCAGATACATTATTCAAATTTCCAGCTTTACTACCCACCATATCATCGACCATCTTCCTAAACTTATTCCTTTCTTGACGAAGAGCATCCACTATAATTTTCTGCTTGTGGATAAACATTGATACATGAGGTGGAAGTTCTTCATCGCGCTATTCCCAACCATTACTCTCGTAACGAGGACATTTATAGAATCTACGACCACCATTCATATGTATCGTAGCAGTAAAATAATTGGCTACCAGTCCACAATAACAAGCACGAGCATCACCTGGATCACGAGAAGAATTAGAAGAAGATTTTGCCATTTGAATCTTAAAAAGAAACGAACTCCAATTTATCAAAGATTTCGAGTTAAAAGATTGGAGATGAGAGAGGAGAGAGGAGAGAAGTTGCTGAAATTTGGAGATGAAGTGGGTGAAAAATGACCTAAGGTCGGGTGTTTGGGGGGGGGGGGGGGAGGTTAAAACAAGGTTTGCTGGGTCGGGTCGGTATATTTGGGTTATGGGTGGGGTAAAATCAGGTTTGGGGTATGACTTAATTAATAGCCAATCAGATATGGCCACGTGGAATTAATAAAATATTTAAATAAATCACAACTCACCCGTTAGAATTAAGGGCACAGATATGCCAAAATTTTAACGATAGGGTCATTCTTAGCAAAATAGGTTAATGAGGGGCATTTTTAGACTAGAGTTATACGTTAGGGGCAGGTACAGCCCTTTTTCGTAGTTTAAAAAAGGCTCCTGATTTTAAGTTCCTGAAATACCCATCAAACTTCTGAGCAGCTCAGCGTGAACATGGTGGCATAATCGCCATTAACCTTTAAGGGATAAAAATGGCATCTGAAAGAAAACGTAAACATAGAGCGCTAGGGATTCAAGAATTAGAACTCTGTTTCTTCCTATTTGACCTACAAATTCACAGCACCCAAAACACACCATAAAGATTGAATCTGGAATCTTGATTAGAACATTAGATAATGGAGGAGGAGTCAGAAAAGAGAAAGGAAAGGCTAAAAGCTATGAGAATGGAAGCTTCACAAAGTGGAAATTACAATGAAACTCAGAATCAATTACAAGGTCTTAGCAATCCTTTAATTGAATCTCCTTCAGGACAGGCTGAATTTCATGCTGCCCCAAGATTTGATTATTACACTGATCCCATGGCTGCTTTTTCTGCTAACAAAAAGAGGAATAACGTCAGCCCTCAAGTTTCTCAACCATGTTACACCCCTCCAAGTAAGTTCCATGCTTTTTTTTGACTTCAAAGATACAAACATGTGCTAAAAATATATGTGGATGGATGATTTTGTGGTTTGTTACTGTTGTTTTGTGAAGTAATTTTTTGTGTGGATATTATTACATTTGGTGTGACTATACTAGTTTGTAATCTTGCCTTAGAAGATAAGATATGGTGTACCTCTGCTGATTTTCTTTCAAGCATAGTTGATTTAATATTAGTTTCAGATTAAAAGAGTTGTCAAACCTTTAAGTCTTAGCTCAGAAGCACGAGGTCCGTGAGGCTTGAAGCGAAAAGTGAGAAGTGAGGGCACAACTTATCAGAACGGATAAGGATTTAGTAATTGTAATAATCAGTATGCAAGTTCAGTTACTACTTAACGTCCAATATACAATAATGACGGCAGTAATCCAACTCCTAGAAATCATGGTAAAAATATAATTTTAACTAGATCATCCAAAAGATATTTCAATCACAAATTATTTTTTTCCATTTTTTATTAATCAACCATAAAAAGGATCAATTTTCAGCATTCAATTTCATAGTATTTGATTACTTCAGTAGTTGTACTACAAGAGGACAGAAGTAAAAGAGAAGACTGGAATCGGAAAATGATTTGGAAGACCAGAACACCAGTGAAGGTAGCATGCTTTGATGGTCAGCAACGTGGGAGGTTTGTTTGACTCAGGACAACTTGGAGAAATGAGGCTTCAGTCTATGTAACAGATGTTATATGTGTGAAGAAGAAGAACAAGAAACAATGAACCTTTATCTCCTCCATTGCTGAGTATCTAGACAGTGTTGTGATTCTAAGTTGCTCGGACACGTGTGTGGGTGTCCGGCACAGGTGTGGATCTAGAGATTGGATCCTTCGAGATGTAAATTCTAAGATTCGGGTATACGGATCCTAGTACGGATACGAGTGCGAGGATCCGGCTAAAAATAATTCAAAAATATAAAAATATAAAAATATCCCTAAATTATGAATTTTTGTGTGGAATACTTACGTATTTGCTTGTAATGTATGGACTTCTTTTTATTCTCAAGTTGTAGATAAGTAAAGGATTGATTTCCTAGATAAGATATGTCATTTTCTTCAAATTTATCCTAGTTTTAGTTCTGATTTCGGTAATCAAATTGTATCTCGTCTCGAATTTTTTAGTCCGTCGTGGTCAAAGTACCCGAGATCGTTTGACCAGATTCGGTACGGATCCCATGCCCACACCCACACCCACACGAGTGTCGCGTTGACACTGGTGTGGCACCTAAACTGCCGTGTCGGAGCACCTTAGGATCTATTCTTAAGCATTTGTGGCGTTTCTTGGGTGATGTCTCAAACTGTAAGGGGTTTATTAGAAAATTGGCAATCTCAGAAAGTACCTAGATGACTAAGAGCCCGTTTGGATGGGCTTGTTTTAAGTGACTTTTAAGCCAAAATAGCTTTTAAGCCATAAGTTAGGAATTCTAACTTTTGGCTTTTGGCTTGTTTTGTCATTTTAGCTTAAAAACAAGTGCTTAAAAACACTTTTTTACTTTATCAAACACTAAATGGCTTAAAAGCTATTTTAGCTTAAAAGCACTTAAAACAAGCCAATCCAAACGAGCTCTAAAGCAGAGCTGGAGAACCATTCCATTATGCATCATATGGACATTATGGCTGGAGAGGGACAAAGCTTGATTTGAAGGGCGTAGAAATCACATTATTAGCATTAAGAATAAATGTCTTCATAATCTGTATTATTGGTGTAAATGTAGCCCCTTAGGAAATCTGGATCAGTATGTGGAGTTCCTGGATGTGCTAGGAGGGGTAGAATAGAAGTTGGATGATGCTGTTTGGGATGTTTTTTGTATCTTTTTGTGCCATCTTGGTACTTTTTAATAAACTTTTACCTTATCAAAAAAAAAAAAAAAAAGAAGAAGAAGAAGAAGAGAAGACTGGAATCAGAAGTATTAGAAAAAGAGGACTTGCATAGGTGGAACTTAAAGAGAAGGAAGAGAAGACCGGCTAGCTCTTATGTGGGTTGTGTGGAGGAGAGGAATAGGAGAGCTTTTGAAGGAGTAGAGAGTTATTTTGTACATGTGAGGAGTAGTCTCGTTTCTCTAGTTTCTTTTTTCTGCGCCCATGAAGTTCTTGGTTTTATAGATTAGTGGGTGACTTTTGTACAGTATTAAAAGTCTAGGTTTCTCTACTTCTATATGGGGGTTACCCCAACATTAATAAAATTATTTACCTTATAAAAATATATGAGGACTTGCATTCTAGAAGAAAAAGAACTTTTTACAGAGTAATCAGTTTGAAGGAAACGAAAAAAAAGTAAGAAGTAAATCAAAAGCAGCACAACATAAATAGTTTTAAAATATGCATTACAAAAATGAGAAGAACAAAAAGATAAGGACAACCAAGAGAATGATGAGCATAACTGGAGATGAGTTAAAATAGCAAAAGGTCATTTGTCCCCTCCTCTTTTACTTTTCATCTTTTAAATTGAGAATCAAGTAATAGAATGCTTCTGATTGGGATCACTCGGCATTCCATTTTTGAAGAGCCACATTTCTCTAGAGCATCAAATGATAACCTCTCATTTCACGTTGCTGCTTCTCTTTAAGCATCACCTTGTCTAAGCTCATCAAAGATACCTCATTTGAGATTTTAATAGGTCTTTTAAATGACTTTTCAGTTTCTTTTTTCCTGTTGGGGTTGAAACTTGAAAGGAGGCGATGTTCTAAGGAGGGATAAGTGTCAGTTTGGGATAAAGTGCTTTTCAATATGCCAAAGCACAGACGAGAATATTTTACACAAGAGAAATTAGCTAAGTTGCAAACAACTTTATTCCATATCAGGGAAAAAGTTACGTTGTTTTCATGTTTTAATTTAATACAAATTTCAACGCCGGCTTAAAACTTATTGGTATTGGCCCAGCTTTTGGCTAAACCTCTGGAAGTTGTTGATCTTGTTTATGTGGGATATATACTTTGGTTTTAGTGTCATATAAGATTGAGGAGAAAGTTTAAAAGGTTCATTAGAGGCATGTGGTGAGATCAGTTAAAAAAACAACAAATGTAGCCTATGGAAAAAGATTGTTCCCATCTGAGATCAAGGCTGTAATGCAGCTGAACTTTAGTTTGTCCGTTCAGCTGCTTCATGAGCAGTGCCCATGTAGAGATATGCCATATGGTAGTGAAAGGCTTCTGATGTAAAATAGTGTTAGATGTGGGGATGCTCTATATTCTGTCAGTCTCTTATGGATAGAGGTTGTCTTGTCCGGTCTAACTTCTAGTGCCATATTGGATAATAGATGTGTGCTGCATGATTAATGCATATGCGATACGGCCTATTAGTGACAACTAGGGATTTCAGTTTGATAAAGGGATGATTTTCATACGTCCAATTGTCCATATCTTGTATAGTATGTTATGTGAAATATTGATATCATGGTGGGAGTAGTTTGCTCTGATTAGCTTGGCTCTGGCTAATGCCATCGCGTTGAATTGTCTCTTTGTGCTATTTTTCATCACATATTGTAGTATAAAAATACATTTTGTTTCACGGTTTTTTTTCAGGACCAAGAAACCCTCAGTCTCCAATTTATACTGCTCGAGGCAACTATTCCATAGATCAAAGATCGCAGTCACAAGGAGTCCATCATACCTTTAATCCTCTTGAAAACCCTGGGCAAAATAGTCCTTTTGGCACACCACAAAGAAGCTCCCCTAATGCGTGGGGTAGCTCTTTTGGGACACCTAACAGCTACTTTCCACCTAATTCTTCAATAGGTGGTAACTTAGCCAGTCCTGGCATTCATCAAAGTGGAAGACCTGATTTTCATTACGGACAAGGTTGGGGTAATCCTGGTTCAGGATATAGAGGCAGCCCTAGCCAAGGTTCAGGATATAGAGGCAGCCCTAACCAAGGTTCAGGATATAGAGGCAGCCCTTACCAAGGTCCGGGACACAGAGGCAGCCCTTACCAAGGTTCGGCACAAGGAAGGAGCCAATGGATGGGTAATAGTTCAAGTCCTGTTTCGGTTCAACGTGGTAGGAGGGGATTGGGTTCCCATGGATGCACATCAGCAGAGTCTAGACCAGATTTGTTTTATAATAAGTCAATGGTAGAAGATCCATGGAAAGAGTTGAAGCCAGTTATCTGGAAGCCATTAAATGCTCCATCAAACAATTTAGATACCCCCGGATCTGAGAAATCTTCCTGGCTTCCAAAATCCATTAGCGCAAAAAAGGCTAAAATCCCAGATGCTCCTCCACTAAAATCTACTCCTCAGCAAAGCCTTGCTGAGTATTTGTCTGCCTCATTTAATGAAGCAGCCAGCAATGAGGCTGGGAAAGATGGATCTGGCACATGATTGCCATGTGATGCCTCCGAGTCTTACTTTATGATTTCTCTCCCTCGCATAATATCATCAAATTGCAAGTTTAGCAGCAGTTGAGTTTTTTTTAACTTTTTTTGTAAGTTAATATTGACAGCTAATAAGTTCCATTTGGTGTTTCATGACCTGGAATTCTGCTGTTGTAGTATGCCATTACCCTGTAAATCTTGAAGGAAAAAAAAAAAAAAAGGATTTTCTTGGTTTTGTGGGAGTATCAAAAGTTAACAGACTCGCTGCTCCCAGTAACTTGCATGTTCTTTTACATGGATATCACATTAGGATTTGGCTTGGAAATTATGAAAAACAGAGGTGAATGATGTATGCCTTTTTTTATTGTTTTTAAGTTGCGCGAAATTGTATTTGCCAAGAACATCTGAGTATGTTGGTGGAGGATTTGCGTAGCAATACAAAATCAGGTTTTCAAAAGCATCTAATGATAATGTTGTGGATGAATGAGTCCTCCACCAATGTTTATGTCACATGTATTAGCGCACTCAATTGTAATGATCGACATTTACTAACAACCCATACCTTAGGCAAGATGAATCTATATATGGTGTCCTTTTCTTTTGTACAAATCTTCTATATGAAATATATATCATAAGGATATCTTTAATCTTCGTTTAATATGTTACAAAGATTTCATTTTTAAAGCCAGTTTTCTGGAATATGGGTGTGCATTCGAATCGGTTTATCGATAAATCGAATCGATTATTTGTTACCGAAATCGAAAAAATCGAAACCTTATTGAAACGATAACGATAAGCATATGTACAAATCGATAATCGATAAGGGTCAAAATCGAATCGATAAATCAAATGCACACCCCTAGACTGTAGACACTTGTTAAATGAGTAATTACCTATTTGTGTGTGTCACACCTCCTTTTTTCACTACAACACCGGAAGAGGGTATAATAAAGGAGTTTTTCCACTTAAAGGACAATCGGAACAGGATTTATTATTAAGATTTCAGAGTCGCCACTTGGGAGATTAATGGTGTCCCAAGTCACCGGTTGAATCCCGAACCGAGGAAATTATGACTCTGTTAACAGTCCGCGATCCAGAAATCCGGAGAAGGAATTCTGTTAACCCGGGAGAAGGTGTTAGGCATTCCCGGGTTCCGTGGTTCTAGCACGGTCGCTCAACTGTCATATTTGGCTTATTTATTTGATTCTAGTACATGTTTTAACCTATGTGTTTTTTAACTTTGAACCGCTTTTATTTATTATTTTAAAGAGAATTGCAACGTCGTGAAAACGTGTCTCGAACCGCGTCACATAAATGCACCCGCGGTCTTTGACACATTTCGACTTCGTTGAGATTTGGATTTGGGTCACATAAATCACCCGTATTTAGGAAGGTAAAATTATTTAAATAACAGACCTAGGGCAACTAACGTGTGATTATCTTTGGGGAAAGCCGTGAAATTCGCTAAACGGCCCGTCCCGAAATCTAAGTATTTTAACACAAACATTTATTGAGGGCCCCACAATTTATGTATTTTTTGTTTGGCGAGGCTCACCCCGTTTATTATTTTAAAAGGCAAACCTAAAAGCAACTATGATTCTCTATTTTTACTGGTCTCTAACAGTGAAGGAAAAGTCCTACTTAATTTGCTACTGGACCAAATGATAATTCTGCACCATGGTCCAGCCATTGGGCTCCAAGACAAGCCCAATGAAAGGAAATTACACCCAGGTCTGTACTACCAAATTGGCCATTTGCTGACTGTGGCCCAAGCCCAACATTCAGGTGGCACGCACGGGCCAAACTTCACAGAGGTCCTCATTTTGAACTCCTAAGACTACGATCAGATTTAAGTCACGATTTGGGCCAAAGTTCGTAGCCTAAGCCCGTTTGGAGACCTCAGATCTCAAGGCCAATTGCACATTGAACTTGTTCCAAAGTAATCAAAACGTGTTCAGTGACTGGTAGCCAGGCGAAATATTCATTTACTCAGATTGAAGAACTATTGCTCCGTTAAATTTTAGTTCCAAACTCAGATTGTTTGTTAGTTCCTAAATGTCACTAAAATGAGACACAAATTGAAATCATAGATTGTACTCAACAGCGGTAGTCATGGATTCAAACCTCAAGTGATTAGATCTAAACAGTTCAATTACGTGATTTTTCCAACATTGTATACTAATAGTTAATGACTTAAACTCAAATCAAGCTAACTAGTTTCAGATATCACTGTATAATCCGTGAGTCTAGAGATGAACTATTGATGTTATTACTAAAACTATCACAGAACTCCAAATACATACACTGAGGCTACTAGTTTAGAAGATTTGAACTTAGATCTAAAGTTTAATAATCCAAGCCATTCACAGTCCGAGTTATACAACATAAACACAAACTAAATGTAAACCTAAACAAATACATATCACATATCGTATCTTCTTCTATGCTAGTGTGAACACGCCAGTTTCAGAGGGTAAAGGAAAGTGCATTTTTATTTCAGCATCTCAACTCAAAGCTACAGCCATTCATAGTTCGAATTTGTACCTGGTATTGGAAATATAAGAAGAAAAGGAAGGGTCGGCAGCAATTCAACAGCTACCAGGGACAATCATCAAGTCTCAACAGCAATAACCATCAAATAGGAGTGATTTTGATCCAAAAATAGCTTCACCCAAACCAGTAACACACCATAGAAATGCAGCAACCAAATGATTACCAAACTGACTCGATTGAACTCCAAAAATTACCCGAAATCAAACAGAAACACCTCTGAAACTTCCGATTTCTAGAACTGAACTAGGAAATGCAAATTGACCTCTAAACTTGAATTTGAACTAAGAAACTTGAACAGCACAGTTTTGTTTTGGATTTTTGTAATTTCTATTGTTTTTGGCTTTTTAAATTTTTGAATTTCTGTCTCAGATCTGAAGAGCTGAGAGAATACTGATTTTTTGGGGGGAGATTTTATTTTGAGGACTCTCCAAACTTCTTTTACAAGTAAAGGGACTGCCTATTTATAGATATAATTGGAGGGAATTTCAGATTTTACTTTTTACACATTAGTCCCTATTTATTTCTATTTTTACCCCCTATTTCTGACTTGTCTCACAAGTAAGTGCACCTATTTAGCCAAAATCTACACTACAGTCTATTCTAGAAGGTTCTATACCCCTTACAATTCCTATACTACCCCTACCTCGCTTCCAAAATTACCAAATCAGATTAAAATACCCTTTTCCATTACCCAAACTACCCTTTAACTAGGCTGTAATTACTATTAGCTTATTTTATATACCCAAAATGCCCCCACCTTCCCCTCAGAATTACTGCCCTTGTCTATCCCCATCAGCTAACCCCAATTCTATGCCTAATCCCTATACTGGAAACTAATCTTGATTCAAACTAAACTAACAAATTACGACTTGACTAATTAAGCTAAAACTGAATTAAATGATACTAACAGAAATCAATTCAAACCAAAACTGCTCAAAATTCAACAAAACAAGAACTAAACCTATGTCTAAAACAGAGTTATCATGAGTTCAGGAACAAAACCAACATCGAATCATCATGAAACAAATTTCAACCTAATAGTCAAACTAAAATCAAAAATGGAACAAACAAGAATTCGTTAATTGATTATGCCACAGAATTATAACAAATTTAATCAAAACTAACAATGAACCTTAACTAGATACTAACAGACATGAAAACGGAAACAAAAAGAAATCAAACAAAGGAGAAAAGGAACAATATCGGAACTTACTGAAATGGCTCAAAAAAATTCAGAAGGTGAACATTCTTGGGGACATCTGACCTTTGCCAAAACGATTTCTTCACGAGGATAATGAGAGGGTTATGCAATACCCATTTGACCGAATTTCAGAAAAATTGGGGTTTTCCGGCCAAGTTGATTTAATATTCGAAGCATCTCGGGCAGATTCGAGGGGAAATACTATGGGGGTTGGATAAAGGAAGAAGCGGAGGTATCAAGGTGTTAATTTGGGGTCAAAAGGAGTGACCGGCATCATGGCCGGAAAATTTCAACCGGAGATTCGACGAACTCCGGCAAGATTCGAGGGAAACTGATGGTAGGGATGGAAAGAGGGCTTCATGGTGGATCTATGGTGTGAATTTGGTGGTTATCAGCGTAGGTTACGTTTTCCGCCGGTGAGGGCTCCGGCGATGTCGGCGGCGGAGGAGGAGTATACGATGAAGATGACTTATGTTTTATTTTTAGGGTTGAGGGTTATTTTATCAAAATTGAGGGTTTAATCTACGCCCTTGGATTGGATTGGATGGAAGGCCAGGATCTTTTCTTTAATCTTGAACTCAAAACGACGTAGCATGGCTTCAATACTACGTCGTTTAATTGTCTCAAACCCCTGATTCTGGACCGGGTAGGGGAGATAGAATTGGGCTGGTTGTTCAGGGGTCCGTGTATTTTGGGCTCAACTTTAAACGTTACAGCCCAATTTTTACTCAATTTATTTCATTTCTTTTGCTTTTGTATTTTATTTCTTTTGCTTTGTTTTCATTTTTGTATTTTTGTATTTTTATTTTGTATTTTTCTAATCTTATAAAAATGTAAAAATTAAGATAAAAATCTAATTACACCATTTAACTCCTAAAATTATTTAAAAATCATATTTAAAGATGAATGCAACAGTTATCAATTAAAATTGCCTAAGAACTATTTTTGTGATTTTCTTTAAATTGTTCTAAAATGAATTAATACCTACTTAATACCAAAATGTGAAATTAAATTCCTAATGTAAATGCATATTTTTTGATTTTTTTAATATGAATTATTATGCTAACCAATTATCACAAAAATGCAACAAAATTCATAAAAATGTAAAATCATTTTATTTGAAACTCTTGGAATAATTTGCTTAGGGCAAAAATCACGTGCTCACAGTGTGGATTAATATAACATACAGAATGTATATATTCCGCTACTATTTTGAAAGCGGCTATACAATATTATTTTTCCTAATCTATACCCTTTCCTTTACCCTAAGTCCCTTACCCTATTATTTCCTCTACCACATTTAAGGAATGATCATATTTAAAGATCAAGGGAATGAAGTTCAAATTAATGGAAAACAGAATTAGCCGTGTTTTTTTTATACCGTTGGAGTGTTGGTGGCATACATTTGATCCCTCACTTTAGTTTTGTTGCATGTGCTTGTTGACACAATTTTTATATTATAAATGGTGTTCGTCTTATTTTAGCTTCTTTTTGTCCATATTAGTTAGGCGCGTTTATAGCGATATACTTTCCGTGGAATCCCGCAAATTTTCTTATTGGTCTAATCGATAACCGAATCGA